GGCCGCTAGGTCATTGCAGGGGTCCCCGAGCTATTCCAAAGAGGACACTGATAAGACTAGGACAGCGGTGAAGGCCATCCTTGGCACACGCGCCCCACAGGGGTCTAGGACTCTAGGATAACACTTGGGCTAGGACTCTAGGAAAAGAGAGGTCTAGGACTCTAGGAAAACAGGGGTCTAGGACTCTAGGAAAACAGGGGGTCTAGGACTCTAGGAAAACAGGGGTCTAGGACTCTAGGAAAACAGGGGGTCTAGGACTCTAGGATAACAGGAGTCTAGGACTCTAGGAAAACAGGGGGTCTAGGACTCTAGGAAAACAGGGGTCTATGACTCTAGGAAAACAGGGGTCTAGGACTCTAGGAAAACAGGGGGTCTAGGACTCTAGGAAAACAGGGGTCTATGACTCTAGGAAAACAGGGGTCTAGGACTCTAGGAAAACAGGGGGTCTAGGACTCTAGGAAAACAGGGGTCTATGACTCTAGGAAAACAGGGGTCTAGGACTCTAGGAAAACAGGGGGTCTAGGACTCTAGGAAAACAGGGGTCTATGACTCTAGGAAAACAGGGGTCTAGGACTCTAGGATAACAGGGGTCTAGGACTCTAGGAAAACAGGGGGTCTAGGACTCTAGGAAAACAGGGGTCTATGACTCTAGGAAAACAGGGGTCTAGGACTCTAGGAAAACAGGGGTCTAGGACTCTAGGAAAACAGATGTCTAGGACTCTAGGAAAACAGGGGTCTAGGACTCTAGGAAAACAGGGGTCTAGGACTCTAGGAAAACAGGGGTCTAGGAAAACATTACTGTTGATGAATGAGTCTAGGACAGTGGTTGGAAAAGCGCGGCTCGCGAACCGCATGCGGCTCTTTAACGACCTGAGTGCGGCTCGACCAGTCGGCCACAAAACGGTTTTGAATCCGTACAGCATGGTTCTGGACAGGTTCTCGGAAATAAATTTGGCTCTCAAAATGGTTTTAATCGTCCTGGCGCTGATTTTTTGGCTCTCTTTACTAATGACTGCCGATCACTGGGTTAGGATGACATTACTGTTGACGTTATGGGTCGAGGAGGAAATTTGAAAGTGTTTGACCCACTTGGCTCAAGTATAAATTAGTACAACGACTATTGACTATCACTACAAGCCAGGGTTTCTCTTCAAGGATCCAATTCTTATATAGAGAGAGACTGCGATACTGAAAGAGAGAGAGAGAGAGAGAGAGAGAGAGAGAGAGAGAGATCCAACCGGAAACGGAATTCTTTTGGGATATGGGATCCCAATCAGAATCGGGATCCCATCGGGAAAGGGTACCCACACGGACCGGGATGCCAAAGGATTCCGGGATATGGAATACATTCGGGGAAATGGGGATAACAACAGGGAAAGGGTCCACTGGGGATCGCGAGGCCACCGGGGGAATAGGATTCCTTTGGAACCGTACTTCATAAATGTGTGGCCAGAGGAGAACTCTTTACCTTAGCCATATTTCGTGTTTTTTGTTTTTTTTTTACAGGCTACTTCATTTCGATGTTGAATTGAAAGGCTGTAGAAGAGGGTGTTTTTGTTGTTGTTGTTGTTGTTGTTGTGTTGTTGTTTTCAGAATATATAACACAATACCGGATCACGTTATGTATATTGGCAAGTTGACGATAACAATAAAAAAAACAACTATAAAACAAATTAAATCTTTGACAGTTTCATTCACTTTGAATTATATATTTTAAAGAAATTAATTTTACGCCGGGATTTCCCGATTTCCCGTTATGAGGAAAACGTTATTCCGGCGTTCCTGGAATAAGCAAAATAAGTCGTTTTTCAAAAACCAAATGGTAGTTTTTTTTATTCTCAAATGAAATTGCACTGTTTGAATAAGCATAAACTCACTGGTCATCAACAGTAATGGACCACATGATTATGTAACATTGGAATCAACAGTAATGGACCACATAAGTATGTAACATTGGAATCAACAGTAATGGACCACATGATTATGCAACAATAACATCCACAGTAATAGACCACATAGTAATGTAACATGGGCATCAACATTAATGAACCACATAATAATATAACATTGACAATAACATTAGTGGACCACATATTATGTAACATTGACATCAACAGTAAGGGACCACATAATTATGTAACATTGACCTCAACATTAATGGACTACATAATTATGTACCATTGACTTCAACAGTAATGGACCACACAATTATGTCACATTGAAATCAACAGTAATAGACCACATAATTATGTAACATTGACCTCAACATTAATGGACCACATATTATGTAACATTGACCTCAACAGTAATGGGCCACAAAATTATTGACCTCAACATGAATGGACCACATACTTGTGTAACATTGAAATCAACAGTAATGGACTAAATAATTATGTAACATTGACCTCAACATTATGGGACCACATAGTTATGTAACATTGACCTCAAAATAAATGGACCACATAGTTACGTAACAATAGCATCACCGGCAAAAGTCGTTGGTATGAATTGTAAGCTTATTTAAAATAGGAACACAAGTAAAGCATGCTATAACATAGTGGTCATTCAGTTGACTTTTTAACATCTGTGACCGGACACAGAAAGTCTTAGTTGAACCAAGGCACGGGTGGGCTACACCCAACCTTGACCTCTGACCTAATAAAAGGCACGATGGCGTTGTCAGGAAGATAGCATTCTAACAAAACAACTGGTAGAGTTATTTGGAAAAAACTTTCATGGTTATAAAAGAACAATTGAAATGATTGACGAACAACATCACTCTCCGGTCCTCCAAAAAATACCAATGTACAAATAGCATCACGCTCTGGCCCACCAAAAAAGTACCCACGTACAAAGAACATCTCTCCCTGGCCCACCAAGAAATTACCCATGTACAATGAACATCTCTCCCTGGTCCACCCAAAAAAATTACCTGTGTACAAAGAGTTAGAAAAAAAATCAAACCCAAATATTATGGTCCTCTATTATCTTAACCAGAGATAATAGAGGACCATAATATTTGGGTTTGATTTTTTTTCTAACACTATTGCAAAAAAAACTTATGACTTATGACCCAATAAGAATTGTTCTTTGTACGCAGGTAATTTTTTTTTTTTTGGGTGGGCCAGGGAGAGATGTTCATTGTACATGGGTAATTTCTTGGTGGGCCAGGGAGAGATGTTCTTTGTACATCTCTCCCTGGTCATAAGTCATAAGTTTTTTGCAATAGTGTTAGAAAAATCCAAGCCAGATATTATGGTCCTCTATTATCTTAACCAGAATGTCGGCCGTTTTTTCATTTGATTTTAGTTATTACATGTTTCTCCAGGACAAAACTGTTGAGCTAATCCACAACCCCCTAATTTAACCCCCCCCCCCCCCCCCCCGACCCCCCCCCCCCTTACCCATTTCCGTACTTTTCACCTATCTTTTAAACACGTTATTTCATTTTCAGGATTTTTTTTTTTTAAAGGCGCTAAAATAAAAAAAAGTCTAAAACATCCGACCCGTTTTGGCGTGTACGCCTACTGAGACTTATGAAAACACAGCTTTTAAGACCCCCCGGGGACTTCTCTGGTTGATTTGTTGTTGTTGTTTTGGACGGCGTGTTGCCGATACATCAAACGTCAGGGGGTCGGTTTGGAATGGGGAGGGGGGTAAAGGGGGGGGGAGGGGGGTGCGCCACTGGGTGGGCAAGTCGTGTAGGGGAAAACTTCCATTTCAAGCAACTGGCAAAACACTTCAGTCTGAACGCGGGTATCGGATTGGCGACCTGTTCTCGGTTTCTCCGATTGACAGTGGTGTGTGATTGACACCATTCAAACACCCTACATGCCGTCTATAGCGGTGTTTGGTAGCAAATTGGCCGAGATGTTCACCCATGTTTTCTCGGCTCGTATCTCGGAAGTTTTCAGGCGATGGATATACAAACCCTGTTAGTGCTAATTAGAGTATCATCGAAAAATACCAGTGCCAAAAAAAAATAAATGTCATGTTTTAACTGGAGTTAACATAGGAAATTGATTTGATGGATTTGGGGCAGATTTATTGACTCAAGTTTTGAACACGCGTTAGAAAAACATTGCAAAAGAAATCAAGAATTTTAATATCAATATGAAAATACGAAAGAAAAAATATAGCCTAAATTTACAATAAATAAAACCGTTTAAAAAATCAAGGATTTCTAAGAAAACCCTAGGGAATGAAATCCACCTTTTAGTTAGTTGTTGTAAACTAAATGTCAACTTGCTCTCGATATGAATGCCATCATTGAGTAGCTAGGTAGCACAAGTGACTCATTGACTGAGTGAATTATTTGTAGTTGGGCAGCACTAACAAATTGTAATCACTAAAATTTTAAATCTCATGAATATGTTGACGTCATGTTACATTATGTGACTGATATTTTAATGTACACTTAATATGTGCTTGTAAATGCAGGCTGATAAAAGTGGAATGCATTGCCAAGCAAAATCACATATTTTCAATATTCATAAGGTGTGTGTGTGTGTTATTTTTAACTCTGGGTATTATTGTCCCTATGTGTCAGAGAACCTGGGGCTGTTCTGTGGCGGACATGCAGAGCTGTCGGGGCGGGACATGACGTCGATGTAGCTGTTTTCATCACCATCGCTGCTGTCATCGTACCCCGAGACCTGGCGGTCGACTGGGCTCGATTCGATCATGTTGTAAAACTTGGCGTCTCGTGTCGAAGGCTCACGAACCAATGCGACGCTGTCTTGTCGTGAATGGACCGCCGCCTTGGCAGCATCTCTAGGAGTGTGTGGCACCCGCAGTTTGGGGAAATCCCTCTTCGTTTCGCCCGCGCAGCACTGGTCGCCGTGACTGTCCTCAAAGATGTTGGTTCCGGCAGATTGGTGAGGAGAGACGGGCTGGAATTTGGTCTCACCACGCGCGGGACTGTCCTTGCTGTCCGCTTTCTTCGCGTGGCTGCTGCACGCCCGCAGACACTTGCAGGCGACGGCTTCACCGTCCGGTCCTTCCTTCTTCTGCTTGACCCTCCTGTTCTGAAACCATATTTTCACCTGTTTTTCGGACAGGTTGAGGCACGTAGCGATTTCGATCCGCCGCAGACGAGACAGGTACATGTTGCTGCTGAACGCGCGCTCTAGTTCCAGGAGTTGGGTGCTGGTGAATGCTGTGCGCATGCGCTTAGAAGATGGAAGATCATCAGACGGGCCATTGACGCCTGCGGAGAGCAAAGTTGAAATAACTTGACAAATAGTTTGAACAACACAAACAACATAATGTTTAGCTTGATACATACTCATACAATTCCTTTTCTTTTGAATGGCATAATTTGAATGCACACATGTTTTCAATCATCTTATAACTTATATATATATATATATATGTGTGTGTGTAAGGAATATAACGGTTACCGGAAATTTGATCGAAAGAAATTTCGTCGACGGTAAATGGATCGACGGTAATTTGATCGAACGGAAATTTCGTCGAATCTTTTTTTCCGTTCGCGCGTTAAAATTTTCGTGAAATTTCTTTTTGAACGCACTGTACTTTTTAGTAAAACAAAATAATTCGTTCAAAAAGAAATTTGATGCAAAATTGTAACGTAAAAATTGAAAAGAAGATTCGACCAAATTTCCGTTCGATCATATTACCGTCGATCCATTTACCGTCGACGAAATTTCTTTCGATCAAATTTCCGGATACGGAATATAACATGTTGTCACTGGTTTACACTTCTATACTTGTTACTTTATTTCGTCGTGACATAATTGTTATACTTTGTTTTTCGCATATTTGTTTCGCGATCAGTCTCTTGTGTCACCGGCCGGTCAATACTATTTAGCTGCAAGCTTAGAAAAATTTATTTCATATTACGGCGTCTCATCGAATCATATTTTCATTTCTTAGCTCTAGGTACCCTTGTCTCACCAAATCATATTTTCAAGTCCTAGCTCTAGGCTCACGCGTCTCAACAAATCATATTTTCAAGTTTTTTATCTACTCACGCGTCTCACCAAATCATATTTTCAAGTCTTAGCTCTAGACTCAAGCGTCTCACCAAATCATATTTTTCAAGTCTTAGCTCTAGACTCACGCGTCTCACCAAATCATATTTTTCAAGTCCTAGCTCTAGACTCACGCGTCTCACCAAATCATATTTTTCAAGTCTTAGCTCTAGACTCATGTGTCTCACCAAATCATATTTTTCATATTTTTAATTCGTAGCTTTTGGCTCGCTTTTGAACATTCTGTGTCTGATTCATCAAAAAGGGAACAACTAATTGTATACCCCCTTGGCGGTATTCTTGACAAGAAAGGGTATATAAGCTTTACCTCAACATTAACGTATCATTTGTTGTTTTCTCACTACATACAATATAATTATGTCGGTGACTTTACTTACAAATGTTTTTTCTTAAAAATACACTGGGTGCCACTTTTACATGAGACCGGTCTGGCCTTATGGCGTGCGACCTGTGCCCTCGCTCAGGACGCCGTCGCAATAGGGGGGTCTGGGGCGCCCAGTAAATATTTAAATTACCTTAGTTTATTATAGTGAAGCGTGAACCTCGGGTCAGGGGTCGAGAAACGGCATTCTAACTTTACGTACAATTGCTTTTCATACAATGAGTTTTCATGCAATGAGTTTTCATACAATGAGTTTTCATACAATGAGTTTTCATACAATGAGTTTTCATACAATGAGTTTTCATACAATGAGCTTTCATGCAATGAGTTTTCATACAATGAGCTTTCATGCAATGAGTTTTCATGCAATGAGTTTTCATGCAATGAGTTTTCATACAATGAGTTTTCATACAATGAGTTTTCATACAATGAGTTTTCATACAATGAGTTCATACAATGAGTTTTCATACAATGAGTTTTCATACAATGAGTTCATACAATGAGTTCATACAATGAGTTCATACAATGAGTTCATACAATGAGTTCATACAATGAGTTCATACAATGAGTTTTCATACAATGAGTTTTCATACAATGAGTTTTCATACAATGAGCTTTCATGCAATGAGTTTTCATACAATGCGTTTTCATAGAATGAGTTTTCATACAATGAGTTTTCATGCAATGAAAGTGGCATTCTTAATTAGGATACCAGCACTGCGGTTGGGACCAACCGAAAAGGCGTTGAAATTAATTGATTAATATCGCATTTCCTTGTAACGCTCACAATTATTTCAGCAGAAAGAAGATGGGGAAACAAGAAGCTTTCCGGGGCGCAAATTCGCAAGCGCAAAGCACAGAGTAAGTGCGTCGTCATCGGGAAAAAGAGCGGAGCCATACAGGGACAGGGAACGGGGCGTCGAACGGGTGCTTCGCTCAGGGCGAAAACGTAACTAAGGCTTAACTTTGGCGTCCCTTAGAAGTATAGTCATTAAAAGAAAAAAAACGAGTTATTCGGTAATGAGTTTATTGAACAGCCCATTGTTTGTTTTAAAAAAACAAAACAAAAGAAACATAGTTAACAAATTCAATACCAAAAAATTTCGTTTTTTCCTTTAATGATTATACTTATTAAGGGCGCCAAACTTAAGCTGGCCTGGGGCGCCAGCAACCGTCGGGCCGGCCTTGCATGAGATTATTTTGAAATACTCAAAGGACCCATGGATGGAGTGAATTTTATTATGTGCACGGTATTATAATATACAATTCCGGGACGCTAGGTTCTTAAATTTTATAATGATATAATCTGTCATAATCACAACAACAACAAAAATGAATCTCCTCCCATAAACGGATTACTGCACGTGGAGTCTCAGCGTTTTTTTTTTATTAAAGGGTGATTTAATATGGTAATATGTTATAGTGTCATTTATTCACTATATAATAGTCCTAAAACTCCTAACTGTTATATATATAAATATTAATTTTAAAAAGACAATTGATTACTGAATTAAAAAAACAACAAATAACTTTTTGTTTGTTTAAATAACATATGATTTCTGAAAATACTTACTAGATTCACACTTGGTACGCTTCCTCTCCGGTCCAGTGGGCGATGAAGGGGGGCTGTACCTTGGTGTATTTTGAGAATCCTCGGTCTGTCGAACACGGCCCAAGGAGGGTGACTTAGCCGAGGCGTTGCTACGAGAGTATTGCGTGCCATACGATGACGTCATCGAAGGCGGTGACGTCGACATCGGGATGCGGTGGGATGCCACCGATGGGGGAGACAGATGCGACGTCATGACGTGGGCAGAGGACATGATCTGAGCAGACGTCAACCCGTGATGCGCCAAGCTGTGATGGGACAGGCCCGCGGGCGGGGAAGATACATGTACGCACAGCGGACAGCAGAAGGCGCCAAAAATATCCGCCGGATGTCGTGAATAGCACGCGATCCCCGGTGTAGGCATGGCGTTCAGATGGTGCTGGACAGCATGTTGGTGGCCGGGCCGAGACAGGGCCAGGAGAGCGGCATGAGGGGCCATCATGGCCTGTAGGTGGTTCGGTGGACTTCCAGCGGGTGGGGACTCCCTGCGCGGCGTCGGTGGGTTCTTAACGATGAGAGAATCCACGTAGAACGACCGTGACATCGCTGCAGAATGTCAAACTTATCAAGGAACAAAACGTCTTGTTTGGCGGTACACTCCCTGGCTAAACACATATGTATAATCACGTTTCAGATATCCATTTTTCGGCGAAAGCAGCTGTTATAAAATAGGGTTGTCCGAATGTGGTATATAAAAGTCATCCGAAAATTAAAACAAATTTATAATTTATAATTCTAGAAAACAAAAGTTTTGATAGTAAATATTTAATGCCTTTGATAATTAGACCGTGCTTTGATAGTTTTAGTATCGGTCCATTACGTGTTATTAATTTGGTGTTTTGGAGGAAAAATTCGGAGAGAGAAGCTATACTCCGTATTGGGACCGTAGAAAGGTCGAGACCCTAATGAAATGTTGGAATGGAAGGGTGAGGGGTTTTATATTAGCGCCATCAGCGGGGTTGTGATTGCAATAATATTGATGCACTCTAAGGGGGAGGAGATGGGGGGGGGAGGAGGAGGCTTGGTGGATAGAGAGCCGAGAGGAAGGGTGGGGGGTTGTGGGGGTGGGGGCGCCATTAAAGTCCTTCTATTGATCCACTCGCCAGAGCTAGTATCTCATTTGTCGGTGTTTTACAACCATCATCCCCGTGGGGGGGGGGGCGTGGAGGGGTGAAATGGGGCGTTGGCTCCGGGGCGAGGAGAAGGCGCGGTTATTAAAAGACCCGAAAGAATGACAATTTTTAGTCAGGGGGGCCGCCGAGGGGGTGGGGACAAACACTGGAACAGGTTCGTGAGTGACGGGGCGGTCACGCCTCGGTGCTTCCGTGTTTGCCGCCAGGGGGTGGGGTACGGCTAGCGAGGAAGTCACTCACGCACGTCCAGGCTCGGTAGTCAGAACCCATGTCAGCGCGTGCTTCCCGGATTGGTCTGTCCTGGTTCACCATCGCCTACATTCGAGCAATTTCTTCTACTCGGATTATGCTCGGTCCTCCAAATGAAAGAGTTATTTTATTTTTGTTCTTTTCTTCGTAAAATTAAACTTTATAACATTCATGAATAATCATCAGTTCCTAATTAGCAATGTGGCGGGAGATTACGCCATGGTTCATTGAATTCATTAAACCCGTGTGCTGGCTGTCAAAACTGGGAAGTGTGCACCCTTGAGTAATTTTATGGACAACAAATCAGTCATGGTCTATGGTCTATTCAGAGCACGGATTAGTGTTGCAATTGTGGTTTTTTCACTGTATGCCGTTTTACTGCGACAATACTCAAGCACTACAAATAAATTATTAGCAAAGGGAAAACCAACGCGTTTTCAAAAAAAAAAAAAAAGAACCCATAAAAGATAGAGACAACAAACTTTTCTAGGGCATTTTGCAGCAGCTGTTCAACCCTAACCCCCCCCACCCCCTAACCCCACACCCCTCCCCGACATTATCTTTTAAATTTATTTTTCAGATTTTAAGTTTTAACAAAGAAATACTTAGATCGCTGCTTACCATTTTAATGTGGAGTATTTTATTTACATCAGGCTTCTAATAGAGTACATGAGGGTAGGCATGGGCCAGTGGAACATGGTCATATGGGGAGACATGGGCCAGTGGAACATGGTCGTATGGGGAGACAGGAGCCAGGCTAACATGGTCGTATGGGGAGATATGG